TAAAGTTTTGCTAGCTCGCAGAGGATTTAATCATCATCAGTGGCTACCAGAGTGGTGCTAGCAATGATATGCTTGCTAGAGACAGCCAACGCAGAATTGGGGGGGGGGCTTTCCCTAACACTTTAATCATTCTATGTGTGGTGTGCAAAAAGGAACAACCCAGGCTAAAGGTCATGTCACTCACCCTGGTGCCACAGGACCAGTGTGCTTTTTTTAATAATCATCAATGGAAAACTCAGCAGTGGCCAGAGGATTGGAAAAGATCAGTCTACATCCCAAAGAAGGGATGTGCCAAATAATGCTCCAATAACTGTACAATTGCACTCATTTCACACACTAACAAGGTTATGCTCAAAATCCTACAAGGTAGGCTTCAGCAGTATGTGGACCAAGAACTCCCAGAATACAAGCTGGATTCTGAAGGGGCAGAAAACTAGAGACCAAATTGCTAACATGCGCTGGATTATGGAGAAAGCCAGAAAGTTCCAGAAAAACATCTACTGCTTCATTGACTACGGAAAAGCATGACAGAAAGTGAGGACTTAAAGAACCTCTTAATGAGGGTGAAAGAGGAGAGCACAAAGATACGTAGGGAGTCACAGATTTTACTTTTTGGGGCTCCATGATAACTGCAGATGGTGACAGCAGCCACAAAATTAAAAGACGCCTGCTTCTTGGGAGAAAAATGACAAACCTAGAGAGAATGTTAAAAAGCAGAGACATCACCTTGCTGACAACGGTCCGCATAGTCAAATCTATGGTTTTTCTAGTAGGATGTATGGAAGTGAGAGCTGGCCCATAAAGGCGGCTGACCGCCAAAGAATTTATGCTTTTGAATTGTGCTGGAGGCAACTCTTGAGAGTACCCTGGACTGCAAAGAGAACAAACCTATCAATTTTGAAGGAAATCAACCCTGAGTGTTCACTGGAAGGAGAGATCCTAAAGCTGAGCCTCCATACGTTGGCCATCTCATGAGAAGAGAAGACTCCCTGGAAAATATCCTGATGTTGGAAAAATGTGAAGGCATGAGGAGAAAGGGGCGACAGAGGATGAGCGGGTTGGACGGTGTCACTGAAGCTACCAACATGAATTTGACCAAACACTGGGAGGCAGTGGAAGATAGGAGGGCCTGACGTGCTCTGGTCCATGGGGGTCACAAAGAGTCGGACACAACTTAACGACTAAACAACAACAACTAATAGGTCTAAATGGTTGCTAACTTTTTTCCTGTGGGTGAAAGCTTTAGTTTCAGTCTATTATTATCACAGTCCATGATCAGCTAAAGACATTGAATGTGATACAGACTGAATTTATATGACAGTCACAACACTAATACAAGGGGGAAGAGAGAAAAAGGAAAGTTATAGTTTAAAATCACCATCCATTAAATCCTTATGTATCTTGCATGCATCTATGAGAAATGTTTGCTTAATATGTGGTTCATGATAGAACAGGCAGTGTAACATAAGGTGTGGAGTTGATTCTACCTCATCATCATTGTAAGGGCAGATCTTCTCTACCATAGGGATATTTTTATATTTCCCATTGGTAGCCTCTTAGGGAACAGCATGCCATCTAACTAGTGAGGATACGCTATGGTGAGTTGGCAGGGCAAAGAGAGGTAGGCAGCTGGAGTTACAATATATCAGGAGTTATCTGCTGTGAGAAAATTGGAGGTTCTGCTAACATTGTCTCTCTAAGTCAAACACCCTCTGTTTGGAAAGTGCAGTTGCCGAGGGACTGAGGGGAAAAGCCTATAGATGTTAACTTCTGATTTGTTTTTAGCCAAGGAAAGCAGAAGCAGTCTTGAAGAATTAATGATGTTAATTCTTAGAGGTGTTTAAGCCAGAAACTGATGGAGGTAAGACATTTTGGAAAACTGCCCTTACGAACTTTGATTGGGTTCTCTCTAATGGGGCAAAACTGTCTCATGCAAAAGCTGTGAGAAAGTTTGGCTGAAAGCAATAAACTGCAATAAACATGGCAAGGGGACTGGAGATTCAGCAACTCATTTCTGCTTTCAAACCAAGTAACACACCTGACATCATGATCATGTGTAGAGATTGTACACTGCTTTGCTGCATGTCTCCCCAATTTGTTCTACAAACGATGTTTCTTGCGGGAGACACACTTTTTGTTCAAAACTTTGGCAACTGCAGATCTTTGTGATCTTATTATCCACTAGATAAAATGGACAAATCCTTTGACGACAGCGTAAAGGACTGCACTTGGGCTATAAAGACTGGGTTTGTAACAGGAAAAAGCTTTAAAGGACAGCATTATATTGCATTTTAGGATTCCTTTCTCTTTCGAGTAACTCTGGGCACAAAACTCCTTCAAGTCTGTCCCCGTGAAACGGGGACACAGCCATTCCTGTTCAGACTGCAGTTATTTCTTTCTCCGTCTATTTACTGAATAGCCCCATGAAATACCTCATCAAAGCAATGTTCCTCGTAGGATTTCAAAACCAACCAAGGAGGCGACCAAAGGAGGACTACAGGGATGCTGGGCAGAGGATGTCAGCATGGAAAACCCACAGCAACTGCGGTCCTCCTAGATTCGGGAACCAAGAACGGAGAACGCCGACGCCTCATAAGCCCGTCCACACGACGGAGAAAAACACCCTTTCCTCACAGACCCAAAGGTAAACAGACCATAAAGAAGGGCCCCACAACCCACACAGGGTGAGGGAAGGACTGAGCCAGAAGTCATCTCTTTATTCTCCACAGGATCATCATCCTGGACGCCGAGGCAGCCCCGGCTCAAGGGCTCCCGAAGAAAAGGGGCGAAGGCCCGCGTGAAACCGCCCGCGAGGTAAAACCGACTACTCACCCGTTTGCTTCTCCCGGATGCTGGCCGCCATCTTCCCTGCCGCTCAGGCCTACTCCGCCCCCTTCACCGCAGCCCCATCATCGCAACCCGGCAGACGTGGCGTCGCGGGCGGGCGGGCGCGTTTCTCCGGCGAAACAGAGGCGGCGCGACGGGCGGAGCTCTGGCCTCTTTGTAGTCTCCGAAATACTGCGGAAGACAGACGGCGGCCTGGTCGGGTCATGATGGTCGGAGCCTTGCTTCCTGAGAAGTGCGGCGGGAAGACTCTTTGTTTACCTCGGTCGGTTTCGCCTGAGGCGACGTGGGGAAAACCGTTGGCCATCAGTTGGAAGATATGTTGTGATGGATAGACCCGCTTCGTAGCCTTACCAGCATTTTGGCGTCTTCTCGACGCTCCCTCCCTCCTTCTCTCTGGAAACCACCTGCATAGCTGTTCGTTCGCTCTATTAACTGACATGAATCCCCCCCCCCCTTATTCCAGTATTTGCAACCTCGAAGGATCAATTTATATTTATTTAAAAGATGATCGTAGTGGAGCGCGAAATGTTTTGGCTGGACAGGTAAAGCACGGCCAGAATTGCTTTCGAGGGTCTAGCTGCTCCCTAACATCTGCCTTACGTTTGAGAAATTGAAATAATTGTTTAAAGAGGCAGTTTTTCTTTTTAAAGGAGAAAGCCATGAATGAGGCCTTCATCACATTCCCGTTGGTGTGTCCTTTCTAGGTGACCTTTTAAAATAGGGTTTCAGTGCCAGAGACAATAGGGATTAATTTTACACACAAAAACAAATCACGTGCGCGGTAGCAAAAGCCATTTGGTGGCGATTTATGTTGGAGATGAAAAAACTAGATGTAACTCCACTGAGAATAGGTGTAACAGGCCAACAAAGTCAGAGAGACAGGCAGTGATTAGGTGTCAGTTTCTATTCCCAGAGCCAGAAACGTAGTCCTCTAAAAAAAGTTGGATTACAACACCCATCATGCTTGGTTATAAGTGGGATGAATGAATTTCAGCTATATTTGTCATTTATATACCACCCCATTAGTGTGAAATATTATTTTGGGTGGTTAACAGTATTATAAAACACAGCAGAACATAGCAAACAAGCCATGAAATAATAAACAGACAAAACAAAATTAAGTCAGCATTAAACCATAACAGTACGTTTTCATATAAGGTGGCAGGGTGTGAGGCCCCCCCAAAATTCAGGTGAGATTGCATTGGAAGGCGGAAGAGCAGCATCTTCAGCAACCTCTTAAAAATGGAAATGGGGGGGGCAGGTGCAGCTTGCCGGAGAGGAGGTTCCAGAAAGCTGGTGTCACTGCCGAGAAATCTTAATGATTTTCTGGTCTCTTTCAGGGTGGCCAACTGGAAGAGCCTGGAAGGATCTGGGGGTGTGGGTAAACAATTGTGGGAAAATACACTCTGAAAAGGGTCCCAAAACATTAAGAGCTTTATAAGTATTTCCAATACCCTTGTTGCCGATGGATTAGGAGAAAGCATAGACAAGTTTTCAGGAACTAAAATATTGGTCTGGTTGCCTGTAGTGTTTAACATTTTTGCCACTGATCCTTGGTTGTGTGTGTTGAATAATCTTACTCAAGCATTTTGTACAGGCTTTCATATATAACTCCATGTTTCAAGTTCTTGGGTTTGTTACATTATCACTTTAAACACATAAGCTTATATATTCCTTGTTTCCAGCAAGTATAGCAGTTAACCTTGAGAAAAAAGACTCGGTGAGATCCTATCATACACAATTTTTAGATAAAGAATCTTTATCAGTGTATTTCACCCACCATAATTTCCTGGTTGTGTTACTGAACAGTGTAGGATGACCCCAGATCCAACAGTTTTATTGTTTAGTCAAGTCATGTCTGACTCTTCGTGACCCCATGGACCAGAGCACGCCAGGCCCTCCTGTCTTCCACTGCCTCCCAGAGTTGGGTCAGATTCATGTTGGTAGCTTCGATGACACTGTCCAACCATCTCGTCATCTGTCGTCCCCTTCTCCTCTTCCCTACACACTTTCCCAACATCAGGGTCTTTTCCAGGGAGTCTTCTCATGAGATGGCCAAAGTATTGGAGCCTCAGCTTCAGGATCTGTCCTTCCAGTGAGCACTCAGGGTTGATTTCCTTCAAAATGCATAGGTTTGTTCTCTTTGCAGTCCAGGGGACTCTCCTCCAGCACCACAATTCAAAAGCATCAGTTCTTCAGTGATCAGCCTTATTTCACCCACCATAATTTTTCTGGTTGTGATACTGAACAGTGTAGGATGACCCCAGATCAAACAATGCAACACCAGAACTCAGTATATTCAGAACATTTGCTAAAGAATGAAGTCTAGCTGTGTTTGAATGCATATATATTTAATACTGTTAACTAATAGAACCTTGATTTATTGCACTTTACATAAACACATGACAGTTCTCCCATAATGTAATGCTACAAGTAACATAAGAACAATATGTATAACAGGCTTCAGGAAATAAGAAAAACTTGATATTTACAAATTTGTCACTGTACATGCAATATTTATTCCACACTAGTATAACAATGCCAAGTTTAATTTTCCCACCCATATAAAATGTTTGTTTTTTGTGACTAGTTTGTTCAGAAGTGTGCATTTTTGATTGGTTTGATTAAGGCATCCAGTGAAGTCCCCTTCAAATACCTGAGCTACTTAAAGAATACTGTTGTCTTGAAGTGACATATATGTATGCACGCTCTTTAATTAACAGCATTCATTTTCTGTACTATATAAAATATTAGTCTAGTAAAGATTTACAGATAGCTTATTACATAGTCTAGTAAAGATTCAAGTAATCACAACAAGAACATAAGCTTCCTATATCTTGTGCACACAAGTTTTAAGACAAGAACAGTGATCTAACAGAATTTTTTATTTTGAATGGGCCAGTTCAACAAAATATACTGTACATATACTGATTCTACTGACAAAAATCTTATTACGTTTTTTAGAATGAGGAAATGTGAAAGAATGGGATGCTGAAGAACAAACTGTGGTTTTCTTATCAGACATATAGTCCAGTGTTATGGTACTGCTTTTTTCCAAAACAAATGAATATCGGACAGTGATAATTTAGCAGAGTTCAGTAATAGTATTTTAGACTAATTATTTTCTACAGACAGGCATGATCCTCTCACAGAAAAAAGGGGGTTACAGGACTTAAGACCACACAGCTAGTCCTGAATTTACAACAAGGCTTTGTGCTATTGTTTCTTAGGCAGCAGTTTGCCATATTTCATGGTAGATCAATAAATGGAACATAAAACCTTCAAAAGATGCTTGCACTAAGGCATGTCAATTTGCTATTAAGAAAGAATAAACATTCTTACTTTGTCACATGTAACTGAGAATGTATTGCCAAAATAAGCTCAGGAGCTTTTAGACATGTGAGAAATTATTCACTTTAACAGTGGATGTCTGAGTGCAGAGGCTTTCTTCTTACAACATATCAAAATCAATAGCGAAACACAGTTGCCTCAGATAAAATATAGTCTTACTAGGTCACCTTAGAGAAAAATATATTTTATCAAGCCTAAGTTTTGTGACTTAAAGTTATATTTACACCTTGTAAAGCATCTCAAAAGAGATTAGTTTGTGTTTCCAAAAATATTTTTTCAAACGGGCACTTGACAGCAATCATTCTTCCTCTCCCTAAGTTGTTTCTTTTCTAACTGAACAATATAGGAACTATAATTTTGTTTTCAAGAATTAATATCTGAGTTGTTTTCCCCCTTTCCTCCCCCTACCCATAAGGCAAGTAATTACTCGTAACATTGCCATTTTCTTTCTTGTGATGCATGCACTTTGTTCTAGTTTTGACATAATAGAAACAAATATGTGCTCTGCCTCTTGTGTCTGAGTTTTTCCCCTTATATGACTAACACGTCTATGCATATCTGGGAGGAAGCATCAACCAAGAAAGTGTATCTGCTTCTGAGTAAACATGCATAAAACTGTTCTGCAAATTGTGTAAGCATTTCAATTAGCAAAATGTTACATGCCAAGTTATAGATACAGTATTTGAACTATTAATACAATAATTTTAGATTTGATTTTAAAAAGTGTACATGTTAAATTTCTCCCAAATGTTGGCTAATAGAAAGATCATTTCCCCTACAGACTGAAAACTTTTGAAACATTTACACCTCTAAGTGCAACACTAAGTAGCTCAAGCTCTCTTCATGAGACACAGAATTGGAAGAGTCCTATGTACTGTTTCTCACTGGAATAAGTTTGTGCACAATTAATTATATTAATATTAAATCAAGCCTAACACTTTAGAATGTTATACTTTAGGGAAATAGAGATGAGTATATTATGTCTACCAGATTTTAGAAGGGCTAACAGGTTATCATTGAGGTGCTGGGCATGTGCTCTGATTTGTTTACTGGAACCAGTCATTCAGATCCTAGCATAATTATTTAGATTTGGCATAAGTAACATGTCTTAGTAATCATTGGAGATAGTGATGAGTATCTTTAAAAGCTGATGTCCAGGAAATGAAGGGTGTTCTTTGGCTGCAGCTGGATATGTGCTTTGCAGTTCCACAGCTGCAGATCCCAGGACTTGCTCCTGGCCTTTCTCTTTGAAGCTTGATAAATTGTTGCTTATGCATGAACCTCGTGACTGCTTTATCTTGATATATCTTATTCTTTTTTCTTTTGAGCAGTTTTACTTAAATACTTTCTGGTGTGGTGGTGTCTATTTTCTCAAAGGTTGAACTTAAGAATTGCTGTTGTCATTAATTGAGGAGTATGTAATGGTGGCTCCTGCTTTCATAGTTGATTGGGGTGCTTACTATCATAATCTTATCTTTAAAATAAAATAGTAATTAAAAATCCAGTGGAACTGTCACCACAAATTATTTGCAGTACGAAATGTTTAAACATGGACAAAACCCAGCTCTCTCTATTCTCATGGGAGGGATCTCTATCATTGTGATTAAATTCAAGGGCCAAACTATGTTTTGGGTACTGACTCACGCTACTCAAGAAGTGACACCAGAGAGTGCCAAGCTCTGTAAGGAACTTTGTTGTTCTCCAGGGGAGGGGAAGCATAAAAGCTCTAGTTGGAGCAGAAGCAACCTTCTGCTACTTTGGATCCAAGTCATTGCCACTTGTTTTATATGATTCTGTCTCATACCTGAGATACTATAAACAGGCAAATTATCCCATCACCTTGTTTATAGAGTTTAATACTCTTTTTGGCCTATGTATGAAGTATCTGCAGGGGAGCTTTAGAAATCAAATTAATTGCACATGTTTTCAAACAAAGCACTGACTGAATAATAGTCTTTAAGCTTGGAATAGTTGTAGAATGGGAACATAACCAGCGTAGCTGGGCATCATACCACAGCTATACTAAACACTGTAAAATTCTGTTACTTTTAACAATATTTGATAAGGTTAAAAATGAGGTAATATCTTTAGCTTCCTGATTCCACATACACAATAGCTAAATACTTGAAATTATTTTAATATGCAAAATAATCTACTCAGCAGTGTACTACATCAACAGGTCAAAATCATAAAAGTATGATTTCCTGGAAATACTAAACGAATTAGAAAGCATTCCTAATTTAGTTGTCAGTAATTTTGATTTATAATTGTTAATAAGGTAAAATGGAATGTACAGTACATACACTAGTGAATGTTACAGAATTGAATGAAAAATTAGATTAGAACCAAGTATCAAAAAATACAGCAATACAAAACTGTTTTAAAAGCTTTGTTTGCTCACCATTTTCAAACATGTTCAAAATGTAAAGACTGAAGTCATGTCCATGATCAACTTTAGACCTGTGAGGATGAATGCTTGTGTTATCCAGTAGCAGCTAGCATGCTTCATACGTGCTTCATTGTTCAACTTTTAGTGTCTGTTGTATTGACAAACCTATTTCTGATGGAGAAATCAAGAATTCTTTTAAACTTCTTATAAGACTCTGTTATTGGAAGCTCTAAACAGTTAATGTGTCTCTTTCCAATGGGGCACTTTATGTGCAGAAAATTAACTGAAGGCTCTGGATCAAAACCAATAGGTGGAATATTACGGACGCCAGTTGCAAACACTAAGATGTCCTCCAGAGTTACAGCTGACTCGCCACCTAGGATCAAGAAAAAAGGACTGGTTAGCTGCAGAAAGCTTTTACAAGAGATTCCACATTACTTCAGAAGATAACTAATGATAAATTGACTGGCTAACCGTAACTACAATAGAAAAATGAAACAAATAAAAAAAGTAGATTTAGTAGTTCCATAATGTGAACTTGAAAACTTTTGAAAAAAACCCATATCCAATCCAGATTCTTGTCTCAAATTCACTGAACTAAGTTAATGTCCTTTTTTCTTACCTTCTGTCTCCTGCAAGTAACCCATCCAGAAATCAAGACTTCTGGCTTTGTCTGTTCCTGGCAAACAGTGAATTGTAAAGAGATCACCAAGAAGTTTTGCGGAAAGCTTTTCAGGCTTGTAACATAATATGCTACAAAATGCATCAGGATTCATCTGAATTTTTTCCAAAATACCAAGTGTTTTCAAACCTTGCTGAAAGCTGGAAGGGGAAAAGACAGGGAAACAACAAAAAAATAAAGTGAGACTTTTGATTTGTGTTTTTTTCTTTTTGGGGGGGGCAGAAAAATAAAACTTTCCCACAGATACTGCCAAATTAATTTTTCATATTATAATTATGACTTAAAATTTCTAAAAGCATGAATGGCTTGATATGCATTTGCTATAATAACATACATTTTAGATATAATACATATGGGTAGACTATAGCAAGGGTCCCCAACCCCCGGTCTGTGGCCTGGTGCCAGTCCATGGCCTTGGCTGGACCAGGCCGTGGACACAGATCTTCTCCCCCCCCCCACAGCCCCTTTGTGCATGTGAGAGTGTGCCATGAGAGCACCCCTCACCCCTTCATGCATGCATAAGTGCATGCGTACAAGCAAACACCACCCCTTCATGCATGCGCGGGGATGCCCCCTCCACAGACCCCCCCGTTCCCCCCCAACTGGTCTGTGGTGTCAAAAAGGTTGGGGACCACTGGACTACAGGATACACTTAGTGGATTCCTCATCCTTCTAACTGGTTGTTTAAACTTACAAAATTCTCCTGGATGCTATGCCCAACAATACAGAATACTTTCTGTTGTGCCATTTTTCATGGGCTATTTAAACTCTTACAGTTGAAACCAGGGAGATGAGCTGGCTTCAGATAGCTGTGTATAGGTAAAGGTTCCCTTTGACATTTAGTCCAGTTGTGTCCGACTCTAGAGTGCGGTGCTCATCCCCGTTTCAAAGCCATAGAGCCAGTGTTTGTCCGAAGACAGTTTCTGTGGTCATGTGGCCAGCGCGACGACATGGAATGCCATTACCTTCCCACCGAAGTGGTAACCTATTTATCTACTCGCATTTTTACATGCTTTCGAACTGCTAGGTTGGCAGGAGCTGGGACAAGCGATAGGAGCTCACTCCATCGTGTGGATTCATGTATACATGAACCAAATCAGGAATATTTTGCATTTCAAGAACAAACATGGGGTGCAGCAAAGAGCCCAAACGTACTGATGGGACATAGCATTAACTCCCACAGATCCCTTGTGTTATATCTGGCATTCATGTATATAAAAAAAGTCTACCAAAAACTCCTTCATAGTAGAATTACTAGTGGGGGGGGGGAAGAAAAGAGAAACTAAATTGGAGCCAGTGGAAAAGGAGAGCATGCTTTTTTACTTCTGAAACAAAATTTCTTTGCCTTTCCTGCTGCAAAGTCATGGATTAAATAATCAAAGTCCGTATTAGTCACGTAACAACCTGCATCACTGCACAAAGAGCTGCAGGCAGAAGGCACCACCACTACTAATTTCAGTTGTGGGGGAAGAGAAAGGAAATAAAGTACGGAGACTGCACTGGAAGGTTTCTTCTACCATTCTTTCCCAAGATAAATTATTCTCCCCCCTCCCTTGAATAAACCTGCTTGCTGTGTTGATAGATGGCAGAATCCAGGGCTGAGGGACAGGATGAAGTAAAATTCCAGTTAGTGTGAAGGAGGAACATGTTCCATGAATTTCTCTTTTAGACTCAAAGATAACTTATGTCAATTGCCCGTTTTAAAAAAATGCACATGGGATTACAAGGGGAGGGGCAGAAGACAGTAATCTCTCCCCCACCCACTTTATAGTTGCCTTAAGGAGTTGCTCTCTTTACTATAAGGTTTGGAATTTTCTTTGGTTGATGAAAGAAGGAAGAAAAAAGAAACAGAAGGCCCGGCTCTGCAGACAGCTGTTGCCATGCCAAAAGCTTTTGTAGCCTGGATGCATCTCAGGGACCCTAAAAAATTATGGGGCCTGCTGCAGCTACATTATTTGCTGAGACAGCCTTGCCATTTGCACTTATTGCAGGAAGTTTTTCCCCCTGGAGATCTACAAACAGAGAAATACCACTATAGCGATGGACAAAGGTTGTGCCGGATTGGCCAGTATGCTGTTACATAGCTCCACTTATGCGATGGGAGTGACATCATGGGTCATGGCAGTTTGCGGCTAATTAAGGAGTTACTTTTTACAATTTTAGAGTGCACAGAAGTCATGCTCAATGATCCAAAGTTGCATACATCCTAAAATTTTAAAAAAGATCTCTTTAACCTGTCATGGCAGGTGACATCAATCCCATTGTGCAGGTATAGCTATGCAACAGGATACTGGCCAGTGTCTCCAAAAGAGCACTTGATATTTAGGCACAGGCTTTTGTAGTGGGTTCAGTATACATCCCAGATTGAAACTGTATTTCAGTCCTCGTTTAGCAACTCTATTATTCAGAATAGGTTCCAGTACTCCTTAAGAAGTTTCAGAAATTAGCATGTCACTCAACGATACTTGATTTTGTTTTTGATACTGATAAATTCAGAGGAGAAAGCAATTTGGTGAAAACTGCCACTGGGACTTCCTAACAAATGAAACATAATATGAAAACTTTTAAATAATACAGGCAGAACATAATTTGCACAATTTCCTTGTGAAATTGTTCTCAATTATAAACTGAAAAGGTTACAACAATGAGTTCCACAGCCAACAAACCTTTCCAAAGGTAAGTGAGTTCTCCTGATGACATGGTAATTCAGTATCTCATTCACCAGCACATCCTTATCATATAAGGCTGCTACAGGCTTTAAACATCCAGCAGTGTTGAGATAGTCAGAGCAATCACTTAATGCTGATTCTAAACTGCTCACAGTTGTTGCAGATTTTATCTAAAGAACAAAACAAAACATTAACACTGGACGAGGAAGGAATTAATTTCAAACTAATTGTGTACTAAACTATCTCCCATTCCTTCTGAATTTTGTGCTTAATTAGCTTTGGATTTACCAAGAATGTGCAAATGTATTCCACCAGTTAATTACTGATTTTGGGGAGCAGAGACACCCAGCTGTGTTTAAAATAAAGATGTTAGAAGATATCTGGAAATTTCTGACACCACCCCACCATACTTCACAAGTGTACAGCAGTGTACCTTCTCTATAGTCTGCAAAACATTAACATCTGCAACATCTTCTATGGTTGGTTTCACATTCTCTGTGCCGTAAGCAAGGAGGTTAAACAAGGTTTTGGAGAAGAAGCTAGGAGATGGACCTCCATGAACCAGAGAAACTGCAATAATTCTTCCAGCTTCATAGTATAAATTATCTTGAAGAGCTGCAAACAAATAATGCAAAATAACCTGTTTTTATCAAATAAAGCTGAGATGAGCCTGAATTGAGCGAACCAGAGTTCAGTGTTCTGTCTCATTGGCTTTGGAAATAAGATACCATTGGAAATCCACTAGCAGGCCATAAATGCAATTGTGCTATTTTTTCTCCACCAGCTGATTGCAGTTGTTCAGCTAGCATGGTATATAGCTACTAATGAACTCATCCTCCATGAATCTGTGTGCCCTTTAAATATATATGAGACAATGGACACCACATCTCATCAATGTACTTATAAGATACAGGGATTGTGCTGTCTGTACATTTCTGATTGAGCACCAAAATTCCATTGGTGTGCTTTTACATTATGCCCGCTTCCACATAGTCATGAAAATTGGTTCTTGAAAGTTTGGAAATTGTATGGAGAAGTTTCTGACGTAGCATGAAGAAGACTTGCACAATGAAATACCTCCCCTATTCTCTCTCCTCAAATTAAGATTTCTGAACCATTTAGAACAGGTTTTAAGAGTATGTATGTGGAAAGCAGAACTGATCCACTATTTCTGGTGGACATTTGCTTTCTAATGCTGTATGAAGCTGAGAATAGAAGCTCATCTTCCTATTATCATCTGTGTTTACTATCTGGATGGAGCCAATACAAACTCAAACACCACCACCCCACACAATTTTGTTCTTCATCTGGATAATTTTAAACGCTATAGCCAACAGAGCATCTGTACATCAAAGGGCTAGACTTAGTAGTGGACCTCTGCCAGAGTAACAGTAGAATCCAGTGGGACTGGAATGAAGAATTTACCACTCCCCAATGCAACCTCCCAGGTGCCCCTAGTCTGGCTCTAGGAAGCTGGGAAACCACTCAGAACTAGCTTTCGGGCAGTGTGGAGAGCTGCAGAAAGAGAAAAGGCATGTTATCCCAGTCAAATGCTGGACTTAGCCTAGCTTTTCTGTAAGGGTCCATAACATATTGGAATAGTCAGCAAATAGAACTTTTATTTAATGAAAGTATTGGTAGCCAGATCAGAATACAGGTGAATCTCACATCAGATGTATCAGATAGAAATCCTGCAGCTGCTTTAAAAGCTAAACTCATTATAACTGGTGTGTTTGAGTTAGGCTGCAAAGACCTGGATTGAAGTTCATGCTGTTATGCATTTTACTGGATGATGATAATCAAGTGTTCATCAGCTTGGGTTCACAAGTTTGCTGTGCAAATAAAATGGAACATGACAGGTATATTTTCCTGAACTCATTAGAGAAGGGAAAAGAAACAGATCTGTATCAATCAAAAATATATGGCATATATTTATAGATTTGGCTTACCTTGAGAATCAAAAGACAAATTCTTTGAAAAATTGCCTTCAAAGAGTGATGAGTTCTGAAGGTGACACATTAATAATTGAAAAAAATCCTCCTTTGATGAATAACTGTCCATCTCTATTTTAGTCCTTTTGTTCACATACTTTACTTCAATAGTATTGGCTGGATTGAAGTTCCGTTTCTGAAATCCCTTTAAGGCACTTTCCCAGATGTTTTGTCTATTAATATTTAATCTGGTTGGTTTGGTATTAATTTGTAATCTTAACTCCCTCAGAATATTGGAGACTTCTCTTTTCTGCACTCCGAGTTGCCTACACAATATAAAACAACTATTTTATTGACCAATCCTATTAAAGAAAAAACAGCAATAATTCTTAATCTGTATTTCTGCCTGTAGTATAACTTACAGATGCTGAAGTTTTAGACTGAATTAGTACTAGGAACATGATTCAGTTCAGTAAAATTTTAAACTGACTAAGAATTCAAAGAGTTTGGAATATTTATAGTAATTCACAAATATTTAAGTGAGAAAAGACTATGATTATTTTGCAGCATAATAAAATTTCAGAACAGGTCAGATAGCGTATAGATTAAGTACTTTATGTTGTTGTCATATTTTTCAGATACATTAAATACCTTGATACCTGAAGGACTGCCTCCTTCCATATGAACCTACCCGGCAGTTAAGATCTAGCCAGGGGGCCCTTTTGAAAGAGCCATCCCTTAAGGAGATAAGATGGAGGGCTTGTAGAGAAAGGGCCTTTTTGGCAGCTGCCACCAGACTATGGAATGCCCTCCCGACTGAGATTTGTCTGGCGCTGACGCTGATGACATTTCGGCGCCAGGTAAAAACCTTCCTGTTCCAGGAGGCTTTTATTTAATTAATTAATTAATTAATTAATTAAAACATAGACAAATACATAATAATCAAACAAGAACAGCAGTAAAAATAAAAAGGAAAAGTAAGAAAAAATCAAGAGTTGGCTGGAGGGAAGGCCTGAATAAACAGCCATGTTTTAAATTGGGTTTTAAAGGTGCCCAGCGTGGGGGCCGTGCGAATCGCCAGAGGGAGATTGTCAGATTATCAGATGTGGATCCGATGGCAATTTTTAGAGTATATATTTTAATTGCATTTTAATTATTTTGTCTTTTATTGTATTTTAAATGTTGTAAGCCACTCAGAGACCTTTGGGTAGTGTGGGCAGCATATAAGTTTAAATAAATAAATAAATAAATAAATAAATAAATACTATGCTCTCTATTGCAAAATCAATAGGGCCAAGGATTCCCAATTTGCTTCTGCTGATGGTAATGCTATTTCCATGTAGAGTTCTACCCAAAGACACTCCCATGAGTAGCATGGGACATCATGACTTTACTGATAAGGATTTCACTACGTAGCTGCTGTTGTACTATGAAAAACTGTCTAGAGTACTGGGAGAACCCTCTGAAAGTGGTGAATGGAAAAAAATTGCATCACCCCTGAGGATTCTCCTGTGGATCACAGTCCCACTATGAGTAGACAAAACCCTTCTGTTTGTGGAAAACCAGCTGGGATCTACTTTAGTAGTAGTAGTAGTAGTAGTAGTAGTAGTAGTAGTAGTAGTAGTAGTAGTAGTAGTAGTAGTAGTAGTAGTAGTAGTAGTACTTTATTACGGTCAACGACCAGTAAATGGGATCTACTTTAGTATCACTATTCTTGAAACGGATAGAAAAATCCAAAGAACCACAGAACTAGTTCCACAATCTTAATGTTAGTTTACCTGTGGTATCCATTGTCTCATCTTGTAAAATGTCCCCAGTGCTACATAGCAAATTGTTGTTGAAGTAGAGAGGTGGAGAAGCAGTCTGAGATGTGATGTTGATGCCAACTACTCCAAGTCAACAGTTTCACAGGACCATTAAACATAAACTAAATTCAATCTCAATTTTAAATTCAAACATTTTTCTTTAAATAGACACTGGTAGATTGCTTATTAACTTACGTTTTTCTTAGTGACAGATTCCTCACTGAAGGACTGATCAAGGAGGGTGGGGATAACAGTCTGTTTTCAGAAGAGGGAAGATCCAGTTGAGAACCCTGAGTAAAGGCACTGGGGTATATAATCTTTGGGGGCCTGAGGAAAGCAGGAACAAGAATAGTTTGGGTTTCTCCTTGGGAGAGAGTTAAGGGACATGTATTTATGAATCAAAAATCACAAGTAAACAAAGTTTAGGGTTCCAAAAACACTCTTCTAATTTGATGTAAATTCTTCTGTCTCTAATATACAATGCATAAGGATGTACTGTGTTTTCCCCAAAATAAGACAGGGTCTTATATTAATTTTTGCTCCAAAAATGCATTAGGGCTTATTTTCAGAGGATGTTTTATTTTACAGTCGTGTCATCTTCTGGTTGCCGCACAATAGCGAAGGGCGGCGGTTCACTTAACTGGGGCTTATTTGGGGCTATGGCTCATATTACGAGCACCCTGAAAAATCATACTAGGGTTTATTTTCAGGTTAGGTCTTATTTTCAGGGAAATAAGGTAGTTAGTAATGGGATTTTACCAAACGGGGAACTATTACTAAAAATTTTAAAAAATAGACAAACCATCTACTCATGAGTTAAAATTTGTTGTGCAAAGAATTATCAGAAAGCAATTGAAGCAATGAACCTAATGGGATTTGCATAGTGGCAAACAAAATTACATGTGAGCATACTTCTTAAGTAATTTTATCGGACTATACTTTGATTATTCTTTAGAAAAGGTACAAGTGTTTGTTTTACCCACGCCAACCCAGTCATTTCTGAATTCCCCATCACAGATGACATAAGGAGTTTCTTCGGGAAGACACTACAGAATGAGGAATTCTCAACGTAGCTTGTGGATAAAAGTTTCTATTTTAGGCTCAAAATATAATTTTGCTATATTTGAATATCAGGCGAAGTCACAGTTCAGCAAAATATAAAAGCCAGAAGGAACTGGAAATATTCACTGAAACGGAATATGAAACAGAGACATCTCCTCAAGATGTGGAAGAAATGGGTTTATTATACTTCAAAAACTGCTCAACATGCTTTGGTCAAATCAATCTGTGGCCTTCTTCCTGGGCAATTATTTAGCAATACATAATGAAAATCTCTATCACTCTGCTGCCCACCTCCAAAAACCTGTGAATGACTGGACAGTTTTAAAAGGATAATAAAACTCATTTCTTCAACATCTTGAGTCTTTCTCATAATTGGTCACCAGCAAGGAGGCGGAAAGACAAGTCTCCCTGATCAGCTGCTGAACAAATTGGCTGAGGAGAGAGGCAGGGAAGCACCAGTGGGATTATGTCCACAATTGGCGTGATGTTGCTGCTGCTGGGTGCGCACGTTGAGGAACCCAGTAAGTGGACCAAGACCACTGACGGGCCTCATATTTGTTTCTCTGGAAAACAAGTATGAAACTCCCATGTCTAGTCACTTTTGTGCTCCCTGCAGAACAGAAAGGAGGTGGAGTAAATACAGCAATTGTGTTTGTAGGTGAAAAACAAAAAGAAACTACATACCTAACAAGGTAGCCAAGATGAGATCCAGGAGATAATCTTGGACATTTAGGGGATGGATCTTCCAGTAAATTGTCTGCAATATCTGTTTTTTCTGATATACGCAAAGAACGCTTTCGCCTTTTGTGACAATTCCCTGTGTAATGAAATAAACAGATTATCTTCGTAAAATGTTGCTAAGTTTCAGTTAAACCATCTATTATTACCAGTATCTTCTTACCATGTGACTTGGCAAGGATGGTTCTACATTCAATGCATTCCCAATTTTGCTCCCAGCTTGCTAGTGAGGAACACGCCAAATGTGTCCCACTGGAACCACAGTACTGACAGCGCTTTATTTCCCATTTACTGAAAGGAGACACAATATATTTTAGATTGACTATTACTACATTTAAGTTAGTATAACTTTGTTGTATAATTTTAATCTGCCATTAGTTTAGCACCCAAACAGAAAAAGTCAAGTGAAGACATTTGTTGTGCACAGAATGGAAAAGAGAAATAATACCAGCATCTATTATCCCAGATTTGTTACCTTCCTTTTCTATCACAAAGGCTATGCAAAGTGCCTCGTAATAAAATTTAACAACATTCTCCCTCCCAAACACACACATACAAAAAAAAAGAATCAAACAAAACTGAGTAATAAATACAACCAGAAAACTCTATAGGAACAATATTGGGTTGTTCTCAAAGGTTCATTAACAGAAGGGCCCCTTACATTCAAAGAATCTTTCAGCCAAAACCACTGGTAACTATAGTCTAAAATAGCTCCTGAAGTGTCTAAGGAAAGCCATATTTTAATAGGAAACAAATAATGAGAGAAAGCTCTGTCTATATGCTCATGCACTGAATATCAGAAAGCAGATATAGGCAAAGGCTTCTACTGTTGATCTACGGGTATGAATAGGGATATGCTTGTCTGTTTCTCTTTAGTTTTACAATTTTAAAATTAAAGTTTTATCAATGCCATTATGAGATCTTATCATGGAAAACTATTTACTTGGCACAAATGTCTCCAGTGCCTAAAACTGTAGTGGCAAATGCTCAACGTGATACCATTCTCTTATTAATAGAAAACAAAACCATTAATGTTTTTAAAATGTTGTTTCGGTTTGGTTTAGCATGTCTAATAAATAGAAAGTTTGGAGTACTATTGCACTTTTAAGATGAATAGCATTTATGATCTATATTCAAATTCTTCAAATTCACAGAAGCTCACACCTGAGCAAATCTGTTCTTAAAGATGCTACATGTCTTGTGTGGATGTATGTGGATGATTATGGTGTGATATCGAAGATCCATTACGAAGCTGAAGTTTTTTCTTCTTCTTAAACTTAGAATGTGGCATCACTGTGTCTAGAGGACTCTTATGGGGAGGGGCAAATATGTTGTGTGTGAATATATAGCTTTCCCTCTATTTCCCGTTGCATAATGAATTGTGGATAGAAACATATCTAGGTAACATTTCTAAAAGTGACAAGCATATTCATTATTTTCTCTCACAGAAGAGCTTTTATTACTACCTATCAGGTTCACTGAAATCTCTTCCATTTTTGCAGAGGCATCTTTTGACATCACAGTGTTGGTAACATTGAAGAAGGTCCTGGTATGCATTCTCTTCTAATTCCCAGGAGGCGTCTCTAGAAATATTTAAATGCTTATTAGAACATTTTTAAGATCTGTAATTTAGCTTTTTTGTTAAAATAGTCATTTGTAACCAGAGCAGCATATGCATAAACCACACAGCATAATTATAACATAATAACATTCTAAGAAGCGCTTACTTTTCTGGAATATGAATGCCCATTCTTAACATTTCATTCTGAAATTTCTCTTTATTATTGCACACTGGGCATCTGAAGAAGAATACTCCTGCACTCAGAGCTTGACACTGGATCCAACAACAGAAAGAGAAAAGACTGATTAGCAAAACCTATTTATTCTCTGAAGATTAGAGTGCAAGTCCTGTAATACGTACAGGGACAAAGATTTCTCTAGTTATCAAGCTTGTAAAGCTGGGAAGCAGCTGGCATACTTCTTCACTTTTGCAAATACCTGCTAGATCAGAGCCCATGGAAACAAATCTCCTCTCTTTAGCACAATTCCACATTGTCAATACCCACAGGTAAAATCTAAACAATGCCATACGGCAATGATGGTAAATATTTTTGAGCCTGAGTGCCCAAACTGCAACAAAAAATCAACTTCTTTATTTCAAAGTGCCAACACTGCAATCAAAACATGAATACAGTGGTGCCTCGCACAAGGACTGCTTCATACAACAATGAATTCACACAGCGATGGGTTTCTTTGAGGAATTTCCCCCATCGTTTAACGATGTTCTCTATGGGGGAATTTCACTTAACGATGTCCCTTTTTCGCTCCTGTAAAAGTGTCTTAAACTGTTAGAAACCTGTTTTAAATGCTTGCAATCATTAGCCCACCTCCTGAACCCTATGCAAACTTAATTTGGTGTTGTTCTGAGCTGTTGTTAATTTTTGGTGATTTTTTAAATTCTCCATTGAAAGCCTTTGAATGGTCCGTTCAAAGGCTTTCAATGGAGAAAACAAAAAATCACCAATAATTAATGACGAGCATTTAAAACAGGTTCCAAACATTGTAAGACACTTAAAAATGAGTGAAAACGGACATCGGAAAGTATTTCAAAAGCACTGAAGCCGGCTTCAGTGCTTTTGAAGCTCTTCCGTTTTTCCCTCATTGAACTCTATTGAACTGTCCGTCCAATGCATTTCAATGAGAGAGAAAACAAAAAATCACCAAAAATTAACGAAGACTCAGAACAACACCAAATTAAGTTTGCATACGTTTCAGGAGGTGGGCTAATGATTGCAAGCATTAATCTGTTCCAATTGGAAC